GGTAGACAACTTGGATTTGTAGTTCACTCATAGATGAAGAGTTTGAAAATATTGCACTGTAAAACATAGAAAATGCATAGGTACGCATACATTAGATCTATGGTAAACATACTCATGTATATAATATAATTTCCGTGCTTAATTCATAGACGTAGCTTATTTGTTTCCCCACTTAATCAGTCTAGAAAATAATGGATTTAATAGATGTATTCCACTCCTGCTATTTTTATAGGGTTTCATTCTGTTTCCTATAGGATCAAGCTAAACATAAACCATATCTTTATACATACAATATCACACCGTGCGTGCCTTATATGCATGGTAAGCATCAGTAAACCTCTCTTAGCTTAGCACCCTCCAGCTAACCATATGATCCATGCTCTCAAAAGTTATATGAGCTCAACATCCATGCATCATGCGAAAAGAAGTAAATTAGGGATAATAATTTGTCCTAATATTCAAACATTAAGTCCAGTATGTATGTGTACATAATAGAACTGTATGAAGCCAATACCTGCTCCTGGAGACACGGGATGCAGCCAGGGCATGGATGACAAGCTCATCCAGCCACTATACTACCTCGGCGGCGGCTCTCGACTTGATTATCCTCTATTCCACTTCATTGCCTGGGCTTCCGTTAGCTAATACCTAACGCCATGCGCAGTGAGAGTCCTTTTTGCTACAGACCTTTGCCTATTATGGGAGAAGGAGAACTGCAGCAAACAGAGACTTTCAGCTCTCCTTTCACCATCATGATGATATATATTGCATGAGTGAATAGCACTTGGTAGGCAGAACAACCCAAGATATGGAGGCAGTACAATGCAAAGAACTTCAGGCTAGGTTAGAAATGACAGGAGCAATATGGATCAACCAAGTACTCACTGTGTCAGCAAGAAGAAACATTTATGCTGCATTGTTTCTGAAATATATAGTATGCATACAATGGAAAAAATGGTTCTGAGTTTTACTAAAGGAAACCATTCACTAATTATTTATTTCCCATTCGAGAAATGCAGTACATATGGTGGGGCTTCAGCCTAATATAATGTGGGAAGAAATATTTATTTAAAAGCTAGGAAATCATAGACCAATTTAGCAAAGATATCATGGTAAAGTTGGTAATATTGTAAGAATACTTTCATGATCCATGAGCATTAAACCTATTTGCAAAGAAAGATCAATACACTATCTTGGCATTCTTGTAGAATTGTATCTGAGAGGAACATTATTCCAACCTTGTAAAAAGAAAGAGGCCACTATGGCCGTTCGGGCCAAAACCATTTTGTGTACTAACAAATAAATCCAGATGATTCTTGATGTGACACCAAGTTTAACATGCGCACCTGCAACAAAAGAATATCATTTTGTACTTAAGTATAAACATTTCAAGTAGCACCATGTATATAGAAAGATGTCACATTTGTCTATTAATCAATTGACCTCTCATCTGAAATAGAAAATCAGAGCTAACATGAATAACTTGTTGCACGAAATTAGGCAAGCATACCTCTATATAGAAGAAGACCAAAAATACAACTGACTCCATAACTAAACCTTTGATTATTTCATCGAATTGAATTAGCATTAAATGTGTCAACCAAAAGGACAATTGAGATGAATCTAACATACGAAAACTTGATAGCATTCATAATGTATGTACAAAGGTTCTCTTCTTAATCATCCCATGCATGTAAGAGGAAGAGTTTGATTATTGAATCTGAAGCATACAACATGATATTTCATTTAATATATATCCCATTATATGAGAATGGAAGGACATGTATGCAACGTCATATTTTATGCTCAAAGATACAAATGGAGACTGAACTTTATGCACTCAGGATGCGTGTCTAGTAAAGACTGCACCTGTACGTATAACACATATATGACTATTATAACAACATACAGTTTAGTATCACTAGTCATCAACCCGTGCGACTGCACGGGCTACAAATATAGAAATCATATTTATACTCAATGAATGTATCTGAAAAATAGTTTTGTTGATTTATTTTGGCAATTGGAAATATGGTAAGAGTACTGAAAATATTTTGTAACATGTAGTACTTTCTTCATGTATAGCAACTATCAGTATTGTTCATTCACTATAAGTTCCTAATTATGCCACTATATGTATCCTGTGGAAGTCAAGCTCTTTTGCTTATGTTTATAATTCTGATGTGCTTGTTGATAGCCCTAACTATATCAACAGGCATAGCAAGTGAAAATTATGAAAAGTTCAGCTTAAATTACATGTTGCTTTGACTACAAGATCTAAATTTACCTCATTAACTTTGAGCCCGGTAAAATATATATGTGAAAAATGGTAGTTGAGTCGAACACTGGCATAATTGAATTTCCTAGTGAACACTAACCATAAGATTTGTGTAGACCTTTTAACGAAGTTGACATGCAAAAATTTCTACCTGGATAGTATAGAAAACAAAGTTTGGTGTATTAGACACATGAAATACCTGTGGCACACTTGGAAATATTGCATTTTGGTATCCTATTTAATATATAGTCGAAAAACGTCCCACTCTGAAATTATACCAAGAGGAAAATCCTGACCAGTCAAAGGATTATGAAAAAAATATACAGATTAATTCCCAATATATTCTGCGAGACTACTTTCACAGTGCCAAAGAAAAGGGCATCATGAATCTCCTTGCATTATTCCTTCTTCCTTTACACTGCTATAAATGTCTAAATCCATATAATGTGATATTAATTTATTCACTTACTCTTCTTTAACCATGTAGTACGCATCCACTCAAGCAGCCCCAAACTTGGTAAAAGCAACGAATTTGCATCATAATATATCAGAAACAATAGTGTTTAGCAACAGCAAGCAAGAGGACGATTAGGTTGCACTGCGGCTTAAAAGCAAGCAAACAATCTAAGTATATAACAAAATAGATATCTGCTACGTCTGAACATGTAGACTGAGATTCAAACGCTATAGAGAATACAATCACGAGAGCTGGACCTGATTTATTGCATTGTACCCTAAACTGAGATTCAAGGCTAGAGAGGAATATGGTCAGGAGAGCTGCAGCTGGATTGCCATACATGACTTATTGAATGGTATCTGCTAAGTAAAGAATTATTGGAAATAAATCACGTACTACCAAAAGAGGGATCCTACAATGGGCCAACCCAATTTACTTAAGAGAGCACTCGGGGGAGGGGTACGTTTGTTCGACATCCGTCGACCTAAGTGGGGAATCGGATTCGCGCTCCAGCATGAACTACCCGAGAAAGTATTGGTGCACCAGAGCTTCTTGTGCTACCGGTGCACCGGACTACCTTAGCACATTTTCAAATGTTCGAAAAAATCTGAATTATTTTTAGCACATTCACATAGCAGTAATGTATTTTGTCACAAAAATTCAAATCAAAATTTGAAACATAGCTCAAGATACAAAAAGTGAAAAATTCAACACTGAATAGTACATAACACAAGTTGGGCTTTAGATTTGGCCCATTATCAGATCAATGTCACATTTGTCACTTTTGTATTTCAAGCAATGTTTCGAATTTTAATTTGAATTTTTGTGACAAAATAGATTAATTTTTTTCTCAATACACAATTTTTCCTTTGACTTTTGTTTAACATTTTTGAATGTGTAATCTTCGTCCTATGCACCGGTAGCACAAGAAGCTCCGATGCACCAGATACGTCCTCTGAACTACCCACCTCAGAGAGCATGCCCAATAAATGGGCCACACATACATGCCCAACTTGAGCACTACCCCATGATAAGAGCAAGATGCAAAGAACGCTCCAAAAATCAGTTCCTGAGCTCGGGCTCAAATGATCCCGAAATCTACACCATCAGCTCACATGAGGATCCGTGCCATCAATTGTATTTCACTGTCGTATTCCTATTTTCCCAGTCAACCGTTGTAGCGTATTAATGCAACGTCGCGTTATGGTAGCGAGGCGGAACAGGCAGCAGACCGATGGATCGGCGTGTTATCTGACCCAGGCTGAGCCATCAACTCCACCGGTCTCCAAACGGCGAGTAGACAGACTGGCTTTAAATGCACCCACCCACCGTCTCGCCCTCCACATCCAGACGCACTCAAAAGAAAAATCCCCATTTCATACCTACTACTCCCTCTGTACCGAAATACATGTCGCTGGAGTAGCTGAACTTCAGCTGCTCCAGCGACATGTATTTCGGTACAGAGGGAGTAGCAGCGACCATTGCGCTAGTCCTCCAAATCCAGTGAGACTCTGACCGCCATGTCCGACGCGTCTTCTTCACCCCTACATGTTTTTTCTGAGCTGGCCTAAGCCGTGCTAGCTGATTTCTGTTAGTACCATAGTACTTGTAGGTTACAAATCTAATATGTATGTAGCTTCATCCTTCAGTCAACACTCGCATCTGAGTAATACACTCATTATTCATGGACATTCTTCATGGTAGAACACCACTTCTCCCAGGCCATCCAACCTGCCGTATTTGTAGTACATCTTGAAATTCCGTTATCAACTAACGTCCTCCTAACCATCACATTTGCAAACTTGGTCAGTTGAATAAACAGAGCAATACCTTTGGAATTACATAAACCTTTGTCAGTTCAGACATGACCGCCATTTTTTTGTTCTCCTGATGGAAGACCTAAACTGCTTGCTAGGCACACAAAATTTGCCGACACCACTCATCCTACTTGAAATTTTTGGGGCTCTCCAAAAGGTTTGTTTTGCTATATAAACACGGTCGCCCATGTCATGTAGGTAAAGCAAGTCACCAGAAATAGATGCAACCCCAGCAAATGTAGACACATGGTCATTTCGTCTCACAACATAACCAGTTTTCACTTAGTCTAATTAGGTTCCCACCTGGGAAAATATGACATGACTATAGTTTTCCCAAAATACAAGATGGTAGGGATTGTGCCGCAAAATGACCCCACTACTTAGTCGGGTTAATCCAACTGCCTAGCACACGCACAGCCAAAAGATACACCTACTACTATCTTCCACTTCAGTCAACGATCACATCATACAGAAACTCTGGGATAGCTCCTTTGTTCCCTTTCATTGTCACTATCTCGTAAGCAATCTTCTTCCGCAAATGCTTAGTCTGTCCCTGTCACAAGCCAAAAATGGGGAAACGCTCTCACTGCGTTGTATGCTCGTCATCTTGGCACAGAAAAAACCCTTGAAATATGGTTTTGCCCACCTTTCTGATGTCGTATATTTGGGTCATGTAGGGGTGCTTTCTCAGATCGTACTTATCTAACAGCGTAGCCAACGCCGTCTCAAACTCATCTTCAGTTAGCATGTGGTTCACAACCTCATGGAACTCAGCCTGGAACTCACTCTTCTTCGTGTACAGAGGGCCCAATGTCTCCTTCGTTTTCTTCAGCACATGCCATTTTTGCACCACCTATGCACGATGCCCGGATAAACTTTGCTGATTGCCACCTCCAAAAGTAGTGATCTCATCAACAGCCTCTTGTTTGGTCATCACCTAAATTTGCGTCGTATCGTTGTTAGTGTCATTTGCATATTGTAAACTCATATCTGATGCAACTTAGCAGCTCATGCATGCACTCAATGAACCATTAACTTATAACCCATGAAAAAATGAACGAATTATAATATGAAAGCCTAGCTTTATGACCAGTTTCCCAGCTTCTGAGTTCATGAAGTTATGAGGTGGAGAATTATCTTGTTTCTAATAGATAATACTTATCCAACAAATTAAGGGGGTTCTACTGTGAGCACCTTTGTATCATATTCATCTTTTGGTTTCTTAATCTTGGAGATTTGGGAACTACCACATGATCTCAGATGGACTAAAATATGTTTGCGGAAAAGAAAACTAAAACACATAAATGCATGATAGAACACCAGCAAGATCTGCATATAAAAGCACATGCTTTAAGTGCCAAACGTTGGAATGATCAAATATATGTTTGACATACCTTCTCCACTGCAAGAATATATAGACAAATTAAGCTGCACTCCAGTTTCCATCATCGCTGAAGATCACTAAAGTACTAAACATGCCCAAATTTCTGCAGGGACAGCTAAACTAAACCCAAAAGAATCATCGGCTCGTACCACACGAAGTCCAGGAACACAACATGGAACAACACTTTGACGATAATTATTAAAGTACTGGATTTGAAGTAAGAAAGTTTATGAGAAACATGTCCACAATTAATGCCTACAGAAAATGTAATACTTGCAAGAACCTAAGAGGAAAAACCAACATCAATTTGCCACATCTGCACCAACCCGTCTCTGCAATTCCACGCGAATTTGTAATTGCCGTATTACAAATTACACCATAGAATCCTAATATTGTCTTGCTCATCAAGTGTCCATACTTCTTCTCATTTCATGTACGGACATCAACAACCTTTCATAGAATCCAGGAAGTTTTTTTCTATTTTTGCACAACAAGTTCAAATTCTATTGTAGAAAAGAAAAGAAACCACACATATATCTTTTCCCTTGAAACTGAATGAACCGCAACACCAGCACAAAGATCCTTGTTATCAAAATTCCCAAATCAGCAAAAGGAAAATAAACATCATAATTTCACTACCTGTACAACCGTAGTTGAAACATACGGAAAGCAATAGTTTTTTTCTCTTTTTTTTACATCCTATCCAGGCTAAACCAGATGTTATTTTTAAGGAGGCCACTTCAGATTCCACATTGAATTTGCAGGTCCTTCCATAGCAAAAACACCATGCAAATATGGACTTCCGTGAGTATTATTTCGTGCTTTTAGAAACCCTACCCGTGCTTTGCTCTAAAACTATGTTTTCTTTGGTGTTTAGAACAAGCCTCTTATCCCAAAAGTTACCCTTCTCTATGTCCTGGCCTCGATGCGGCTTTATACATGTCTCAGTCCTACCTCCTTTCTTCTTTGAAGGAGTGTGGCAATCCAAAACCTATTCTAGCTTCAAGGTTTGTGCTTTAAAACAGAAGACTTTGAATTTTTTGTCCACAGTTTTTTGTATTCTAGTGTATATCAGTATTAGAAGGGGAGCCTTGGCGCAGTGGTAAAGCTGCTGCCTTGTGACCATGAGGTCACGGGTTCAAGTCCTGGAAACAGCCTCTTGCAGAAATGTAGGGAAAGGCTGCGTACAATAGACCCAAAGTGGTCGGACCCTTCCCCAGACCCTG